TTATAATAATAATAATGTAACAAAATTTGATAAAAAATTAAAAAAAATTAATATCATAAAATATTTATAATAATCATAATATATAAAAAAGAAATAAATTTATAATATAATTTACTTCAATATAACAATAAAAAGAGGGGGAGGGGTTGTTTGAACAGATTTTTCAAAACTTTCTGCCAAATTTGAGAAACTAAAAGCATCTCCAATAATTATATTAAAATGAAGAAAAGATAGAATTTTGCAATTTTTTGCTTCAACAACTATGCTATCTTGCATGGTAAAATAGAGAAAAGATGAAAGAGATTATAAAAGTATCTCCAACAAATATGCTATGATTTTTAATATCAAATGTTAAAATCTCCAACATTATTCTATTTTAGTAATACTATTATTAATTATATTATTAAAATATTTAATACATTTAATAAAATATTATTTCTCTCTTTTAAACACTTTAATTTCATTATGTCATATTGGTGAGAAAGAATTTAATATTATTTCTCTCTTTTAAATATGAAACTTCAAAAAATTTCTTTAAACTACTTGTGTACCCACGCAATGCGGCAGGAGCCATGAATTTTAACGATTTTGAAGTTCTACTGGTTTTATAAGATAAAATTTACGATGATATAGATTACACTTGGTCTTTACATATTAATACAATTTGAATAAATAAGAGTTATGCTTCCAATTACAGACTATCGATGAAAAAATTGTATGACAGTTTAAAATCCAATATATTTAAAATCCAACATATTTAAACGATTCCACAAATGTATTCGATTTACACCAAGAGCAAAGAACCAAGAAACTTGAGTTTTAAGATAAACACTCAAAACCAAAAAAGAAAATTACAAATTTGACAGATCATAAACCATGAAAAGACAAAAAAAGATGGGTTTTAGAATGAAATTTCAACTGTTTACCCTCTTTTTTCTCAGAAACTCAGATTAAGGTTGAATTAATACATGTATATATATATATTTCAAAAAAACCCAAGAACATATTAATTCAAAACATATTATACAGTACAATTTGGACGGCCTAACCCCAAAATATATAGTATATATATAAATAAATAACTGTAAAAGTATAAATCGTAAGTATTAAAAATATTTTTTCACAGTATATATAATATATAATAATATAATTAAGTAAAAAACTATTCAATATTGGACTCATTTCGAAGTTATTAACGAGACGATTATAATGTTGTAACTTGTTAAAATAAAAATGTATTTTTTAAACATGTTGTAATTGATATACAATTATGTATGTTAATTTGATAAATGTTTAAAATGAAACATTTAAAAGTAAAGAACATAAAGTAAATTAATTAATTAATTATAGGGGTATAAAATATAAATTTAAAATTATAATTTTAAAAAAATAGGTTGTGAGAGGGTGAATGTATGTGAGGGGGTGAGTATGTGAGGAGATGAGGGGTGAAAAAGTGAGTATAAAGGGTATTTTAGTCATTTAAAATTTTAAAACTTTAAGACTTTTGCTAAATTTGCTTAATAAGATAATATAGATTTGTAGATTTCTACTTTTTTTTTCTTTGTTAAAGCAAAAAAATTGTTAAAATGTCATTTCTTTTCTCTATTTTAACACCGTAAGTAATATAGTTAATGTTAAAATTGTTAATATTTTTAAATACTTTAAAGATATATTTAAAATATTTAAAAAAAATCTTCATTTTAAATATT